AGGTACACGCCCGTGTCGATTTAACCCTGCGGAAAAGTCCCCGGAACCCATTTCATAGGAGGCTGGGTGGGCCGCAGAGCAGGTCTGAACGTTGTAGAGAAGGGGAAAAATCTGTCACCCCTACCTGGAATCGAACTCCAAACCCTCGGTCGTCTAGCCCTTAGCTCTGTCGCCATATTGACCGAGCTATTCCGGCCTCCACTAAATACGAAAAGGATGCAGAAATACAAAACAGCTACGGATGTATAGACACGTAACCATTCAATGTCATCTTTGTCTCCAAACACTTGAAAATTATTAAAAGCATCAAAATGGTTGATTTTGTACAGCCAGGTTCTCACCGATTTGGGAAATGACAACAATTTTGGAAATGAACAAAAGAATCATTTCGAAAATTTAATCTTCAGCAGAATGAGTGGATGAATGCTTTGCTACTTACAATTTCAACAGAGAATATATGACTATAGAACTATAAAGGTTCGGCCACACAGAGCGCTACGCTTTGTTCGCCACGTACGCTACGTACGCTGTGTACACTCTGCGACGCAGGTAACATTGGAAACATAGCGTATGTAGCGTACGGAAGTCTGTGTGGCCAGTCACATTAGCAATAAAGGGAGATACGTTTCTGTTCGTACAGAGCGCTACGTACGTGACGCACGCTACGTATGCTATGTTCGCTATACGAACAGAAAAATATCTCCCTTTATTGCCAATGTGACTGGCCACACAGACTTCCGTACGCTACGTACGCTATGTTCCCTACGTTAGCTGCGTCGCAGAGTGTCCCCAGTGTACGTAGCGTACGTAGCGAACATAGCGTAGCGCTCTGTGTGGTAAAATGTAAAGTTGTTCCTGTGCTTAATTAATTAAGCACGACGCCATGAAGAAGTATGTGGTATGGTTCACCATTCTTGACCTCGGCACTAGATGGAAGTCAGTGGTCAGCTTCACGCTTCGGCCATTTTACCCCCAGGCACCCATTGAATAAGGTATTGGGTGGATCCCAGAGACGCTGTGATGAAGAGAAAATCTCTTAACCCTACCGGGAATCGAACCCCAACTGTGCAGCTCATAGCCTGTTCCAATACAGGCTAGTTTCCGGATATACGAGTGTCAGTCTGCACAAAATGTGTAAACAGGAGGTGCAAGAATAAACTCCCTCAGTGCCACACCGCGTTTGTTTACAGATTAATCACATTGCTGACCTTTAAGAATACGTTCTTCTCCATCTCCACACTGTTTATAATTCCGCGTAACATATTAGCATAATTATGTTACGCTATTAGTAGATTCAGTGCAGTGTCCGGCTGAGATTTTTCTTCCAGATAGGTCAGGTCAGTTTGGTTTCACATCCGTTTATGTTACAAATTCATATTACGCAACCGTTTCTTATTGGCAACATGCAAGGTGTGACAATTAAATAACTGGCCTCATAGCTTGAGCAACTGGCAGAACTGGTCATCTGGCGCATATGTAGTTAAGCGTTTTCGTGTAAAATGATTTTTGGTATTTATTTTTTTATCCGGTTACAGTGATATATTGGGCGTTATTTATTTGTTATACAATGACCTGGGTAATAAGAAAATGTCTCAGATGTTGCAGCAAGACTGTCAGAAGCACTCGAATTTTGGAATTAGACAGAGATTGGCAGTGTGGACTAGAAGTAAAACGCCCAAAACTGCAATCAAGTCTACGAAACCGAAAACTAAAATAAGTTACCTTCACGGCCTCGTATAGGGATACCTTTACTTTTACTTTTACCTATGAATCTGTTCCAACAATGAAAATATTTCTGTATTTCAGCATCCTGTTGCACATCTTTAATTAAACGTCTGTGTATTTTGTCCGTCAATAAGGCAGTTGCATTGTTGACTGACTAAATACACAGATGTTTAATACAAATACAAATACTTGAACGTCCGAAAGTTTATGTTAGCGCATTCGTCGAAAATATCAAAAATATTTGGATGATCAAGTGAATTTTACATCGTAGAAACGTGTCTTCCAGCGGAACACTCGAGGTCAAGCCATACAAATACCACTGTTGTGACATCCATTGTGTTCGCCTGATCTGACTATGTGTGACATGTTCATATTCCTGAAAAGACAGTACTTTCAAAGGATCTCACTTCGAATTGTCTAGAAAGTATTAATAATAAAGTCCAATGAATGGATTTTCGGAAAACGTTTTCAAGCAACGTTTCTAGGCATGGCACAGATGATGCAACGCGGCTGTATAATCAGTCCTGTTACGTAATTGTCACACATCACATAAAAACTACAGGTGAGAGTCGAAACGGCGTCGTAAAGCAACCAGTTCCAGTGTCTCCCGGTTCCCTTTGCCTACAGGAGTGCGATTCAGAGGCTGGGGAAGGTTTTGGCACGCACTGTACGGTAGTGTCGTTCGATCCCCGTCTCTGACGAAATCTGTAAGCGCATCACGTCCTGGAGGAGTGAGACAGAGAAGGCCCTGAGGATATGAGAGGGGGAGAGGGTGAGTGTGGCGGTGATGGTAAGATGGGATCGAAAAGCCAGTCTATGTACTGTTCCAGCGTCACTGCTTCTGGTCCACCGTGGAAGCTGAGAGGCTCCTCATCACACGACACAGATGCAAGGAAACCCAGTCATTGAAGCCGAGCTGCTGGGATAACAAGCATAGACATGGACACTGGTACCATTAAGTACATGTTAAAATTTACACATCAACGCGGTAGCGTAATTTGGTTGAGGCACTGTGCTACAAGCCGGAAGATCGCTTATTCGATTCCCGATGAGGTCACTGGATTTTTTCAAATGATCTAATCCTTCCAGCCACACTAAGTCCCTGGGGTCGACTCAGCCTCTAACAGAAACGAGTACCAGGAATCTTCCTGGGGGTAAAAGGCGGTCGACGCGTAAGGCTGACAACCCTCACCGCCATCTGTGAGCCGATTGTCCACAAAATGTGGGAACTTCGACGTCTCACAACCCTATGGGCCTTCACGGCATGTTGCAGGGACAGTTTTACCTGTATAACTGCATATATATTTAAAAACACGTTCCTTGTATTACCATAATAAAAATTAAGTCACTTTGTTCATTAGTTACGTTACTAAATTATCTTGTATTTTAAATTTACCAAAATTTGAAATAATCTGTGCTCAGTACCACGCCAAAAAGTTGTAAAAGCCGAATGGAAATACATGATCAGCTTCAGTTCCCGAAAAATGCAATTATTATTATTATTATTATTATTATTATTATTATTATTATTATTATATTAACTACCTGTGGTATATTGTTAGACTAGATTATATCGCGTCCTACGGCGGGTTGACTAGTGAATACTGAATTGGAGAAATTTTGAAGTCTTCGCGGCAAAGTCCAGATGAATCACGGGGTTTGGCTGTAGTGGCCGAAACAGTCATGAGAATTCTCAATAATGATTCAGATTTGAACTGAGCACTCCGACTTCAAGTCTAGAACGTCAACGTTTTACCAATCTGATGAGTGTTATTATTATTACTATTGTTATTATCATTGGGGGCACGCGGTAGCGCAGTTGGTTGAGGGGCTATGCTACAAGCCGGAAGGTAGCGGGTTCAAGTCCCGAAGAGGTCATCGGATTTTTTTCAATTGACCTAATCCTTCCAGCCGCACTATGGCCCTGCGGTCGACTCAGCCTCTTGACAGAAACGAGTACCATGAAATCTTCCTGGGGAGTAAAGCGCGGCCGGCGCGTAAGGC